TGAACCATATGCGCTCTCACATTTGTCAGTAAAATAACGCTATTCCATGCTTTTGTTTTCTTCGGTGTATTGAGAACGCCCACTAGCAACCTCATCGCCAGCCCCTGGCGACATGCAGCCACAAGCTAGTGTGAACGGGGCTTTAAGACGGCAGAGAGTGACGCAACCGGAAACTGTAATGCGTGAGCTCGCAAAACGTTTCTCGCGCGCATGCAAAAGTTTCTTGGGAGCACACGAAAGTTTCTCGGGAGCATGCGATAGTTTCTCGTGCGCACGCAAAAGTTTCTCTTGAGCACGCGAAAGTCTGTATTTTTTTTATTTTTGCAAAGGTCCCTTTAGGGGCTCCGTACTACAGTGATGTGAGTGTTTATACAAATATATACAAATTAGTTTTTCAAAAATTATTTCACATTCTATGAAATGATACTTCCTACTGTAGTATCTATTATTCAAATGACTTAAAATCATCTTTTGCTCACAATGTTATTTTGCAATATCGCTCAGCATTTAATGTTGCAACATCATTGCAATTATTAATTGATTTATTTCAGTGTGCTCAGCCATGCCATGAGGACCCAAATGTTTAGGTTTTCAATTCACCATTTTAACACAAAATACATCTGAACTGGGAAAAAAATGTTTTTGCTAACAAAGATACATTGCAGCAGAAGTTTTTTGCACATGCATTTATTGCACAGGTAAATATTACACACAAAAAAACTCAGATGGCTCCCAATCGTCATGCAGTCTTCATGTGTCCTCAATCAGGTCTTCAATCTTCATGTGTCCCTTCACAGTGTTAGGCTGATAATAATTTCCACTTTCTCTTTCTGCCTCAATATATCATGCTATTGTTTAGCAAACAGACATGGCATTTACCAAGCATAACATATCATTAAAATGTATTAGGCCTACTGTTGCATGAACATACATAAATACATGTTATATCACATGCATTACAATACAAATTATCTTAATTTGAATTTTACATTATATTTCATACTAATCAAAGCTAGCCAGAAGACCAGACACTTAGTTACATTAATTTCATTGTTAAATATTAATAAAAATGCATTTAAATTTTGTATTATATGATAGACCTGACAAATAAACAAGAAAAAGAGAGTTAAAAACTCTTAGACTTAAGTGACAGAAACTGCAGTCTTTGGAATGGAATTACAGCTTTCTTCTCTAGTGCCTTGCTGTGAGAGACTTTGGCCTTCCTCCATAAGAGCTCTGCGAAAAACCCCAGACAAACTTTGGTTGCATCGTCGACTAAAATCCAGTCCCATGCAGAAATACAGAACCGGGTTAATGCAGCTGTTGAAATAAGCTAAGTTTGAAGCCATACTCCATCCCACTTTTACTGCCTTGTTGTCTTTATTCACCAACTTGACCAGCCCTAGAATGTGGTAGGGGGCCCAGCATAAGAAAAAGGCACAGACCAATACGACAAGAATCCGAAGAGGCCTTGATTTTCCAGAGAGCCGTGTTCTGCGTATCCCAACAGCAGCTAATATGTAACAGATAAGGATGACCAGGAAGGGCAACAAGAATCCACAGATGAAACGAATGCAGTAGTAAGCATACTTTGCCGAACTGCCATCTGCTTCTGCTGCTCCTTTGTGCTGCAAATGAAATGAAAAATGTTGTCATTCTAAATGATGACATACATAAACATTTAATAAATATAATCATTATATAATCATGCATATATATGATTATTTATATATTTGTGCAGTCATTCTGACCTTCAGTGTGCATTGACTCAAGTTGTTCTTGTGAGGAAAAACTTGTCGGTACGCAAAGTATGGTGAACTAAAGATCACCGCCACAATCCAAACTCCCACACTGACCACACGAGCAGCACATAACGTCCGTCGTTCTCTGGTTAAAACTGGACGCCAGATGCAGAGCACTCGATCCACACTGATGACAGCCAGAAGGAAAACACTGCAGAACATGTTGGCGTACTTGAAGAAACCATTGAACTTGCAGAGAAAAACTCCAAAAGGCCAGTGGTCATAGAAAATGCTTTTGATGAGAGAAATAGCTCGTGTCAAGCAGAAGATCAGGTCTGCTACAGCGAGATTGACCAGCCATACATTAGTGACGTTGGGTTTCATGCGGAAGCCGGCCACCCAGATGACCACAGAGTTCCCAATGGTCCCGAGAAGAACAATGATGGTGAGGAAGACAATGCTAACCTTATTCATAATGGCTTCAATGTCCACTGTAGTGTTTGCATGGTGGTTTGAGACCTCAGAGTGGGTGTGGAGGAGAAGAGTTGTTTTGGAGGTCATTCTACAATCAAGACAGATATCACAATTAATGTTATTGCAGTTTAAACAACAGTCTTGCTGTCAATTTCTATAAGCTAACTTGAATGGTTAATTCATCATGGGTACCCTCAAAATGTTCTGAGATATAATTATCATCATTTTGCAAGAAGATGCAACCACGATATGTTTCTGGTGGTAGAAAGTCATGTTGCATGTTATGTTTTTAAGAGCAGTCGTACGTGTGAGTTATAGATTTTGAATTACTCTATGAAATCACAGATACAAACATGTAGGATTTCATAAATCATAGTTATGTTACACCAAGGCATATTTTGTTGTCTTGCTTCAGATACAGTATGTTGGCTGTATTAAAAATGAGATGTTGTGGAGCAAAATATTAATACAAATTTAACCTGACAATTTTAGCAAGCATTTATTGCACTGACTGCATAGCAAAGCAATAGTAAAAACTATACAGAATTGTAGACAATCTGGTGAGGAAATGATGCTAATGTTCTTACCTGTACAAATCAGCGTTTTCACAAATCAGACTAAACCCTCAAGGAAACAACACTGGATGATCCTTTGTGAATGAGTCAAACACTGTGTTTGACTGTTAAAATGTCATTTTGCTATGCTCATTAATAAATCAGTGACTCGTTCATTGACATCACTTGCAGTTGCTCTCCTCTCCCCTTTTCAGTGTAATTGATCTGGCCATTCAGAAATGTCTTTGCTGCAGACAAAGAGGAGAAAGGCAGGAAGAGGGAGGAAACATGCACAAAAGTATACATCTTTACTTGTTTACGTAAGCACAAATGGTGTAAGTGAAGTGTGGCTTTGGAACATTCATATATTATTAATGTATTTATATTGTATGTTCAAGTTTGGTACGTACACAAACAAACAACCAAAACGTAACAACAAGGTAGACCCTGGAAGAGTCTTGTGATTTAGGGGGCGTGTGGAGGTACTGTCTGCCAGTTATTATTTGACATGAAACTATTTTTGTGAAACAAATAAAATGTGTTATAAATACAGTTAATTCGACCAAAGTCAAAGTTAAAAAGCTAATGTTCAGCTTAACGGTTCATAAAGGTACAGCCTTTTAAAGTCGCCATGAAATCAAAATGTACAATTCTTATTTTTATATGTAATATTGTAGTGTTTATTATAAATGGTTTATCTGTGCACTTTTTTTTTTTTTTTTAATTCATGTGCCCTCATAATCTTTAATCAAGTATGTTAACCTTCCTTCCCCCCTTGAAACGACTTCTCTTCTCTTCCTGTCATGTGCTATGGCGTGAGGGCGGGGCTATCGGGGTCTGTCTCATTTCTGCCTTCATTTTGTTAGAAATGCCCAACTTCCAACGATCCAATCAATTCCCGAAGGACGAAATCAAGCCCCGCCCTGCATTTTTTCTCATTTCAGTAGCCGTTTCACTCTGATATACGTCACAATAGGAAAAAAAGGACAATCTCAACTTCCGTTTTGCCGACTTTAAGGAGAACTTGTAGGCTGGCTATGTAAAGATTATTTTAATTAGTTTGCGATGTAAATATGATAATGTATGTAAATATTATAAATGTTAGTCTACTCTATATTTTTACTACCAGCTTCAAAATTTATCATATTAGTATACAATATGCAACTGTAATATGTTCATTTGTAAAAAGTGATAACTATAGCAGCTATGTTCTGTAGATCTAGCTACCGTCTGATTCCCATACAGAACGCAATTTATGTTTGCTCGCGTCTTCTGAGCTCAGTTTACTAACTTGTAATCTAAATTTCTGGTAACTGAATCATTAATTTAATAAGCTGTTAGTTATGTACTATGCATAAGTCATTTAATAAGAGGTCTACTTTCAAGACGGCTTTTTATGACGTAGCTTATTTCAAAAGCAACTCATTCAAAACTGCAGAGGAATCATATTCAAATATCTTACTTGGCATCTCATATGAGTGGTTAGGCAAATATGTAAATTCATTTTTCAAAAATATTTTATTTCAAAATCACACAATATTCTGCAAAATTATTCTTAACTTCACTTCTGAGCAACGTAGTATTTATTATTCAAATGTCTTATGGACATTTTTTGTTCTCTTTGTTATTTTGCAATACTGCTCAACCTTTAATGTTGCAGTGTCACTGCAGATGTTAGTTGATTTATTTAAGTGTGCTCAGTAATGCTAAAGGATTAGGGGTTTTGATTCAATTTTTTAATCACAGAAGACGTCAGAATTTGAACTATTGAAATTCTTTATCAGATTTTTTCTAATGAAGAGTAATTGCACCAGACACCTTTTTCATACACTGTGTATTTATTGCACAGGCAAATATAACAGGAATAAAATGAATAATAAAAAATGAACTCAGATTAAGCCCAGTCATAATGCAATCCTGGTCTAAAAATTGTGCCCTTTTGCCCATATTAAGCCACAAATAATTTCCTCTTTCTCTTCCTGCATATGTCATCCTGTTAACTAACCATCAAACATGTGTAGGCAAACATAACCATAAAAATTTACAATTGTCACATAACCATTTGTATGAGAAAATTTTAATGTATGTAACATTACAAATTACCTCAATTTGAGCATTTTGCAATATAAAGGCTCCATCTACTGATTCAAGCTAGCTAGAAGACCAGACACTGAGGTGCATTAACTTTTCATTTAGTTAGATATCAATCTAGATGTTAGATATTAATCTCTTAAACTTTAGTTTCACACTCAGTGTCTGCCGTCTTTGGAATGGAATTACAGCTTTCTTCTCTAGTGCCTTGCTGTGAGAGACTTTGGCCTTCCTCCATAAGAGCTCTGCGAAAAACCCCAGACAAACTTTGGTTGCAGCGTCGACTAAAATCCAGTCCCATGCAGAAATACAGAACTGGGTTAATGCAGCTGTTGAAATAGGCTAAGTTTGAAACCATAGTCCATCCTTCTTTTACTGCCTCGTTGTCTTTATTCACCAACTTGACCAGCCCAATAAAGTGGTAGGGGGCCCAGCATAAGAAAAAGGCACAGACCAATACGACAAGAATCCGAAGAGGCCTTGATTTTCCAGAGAGCCGTGTTCTGCGTATCCCAACAGCAGCTAATATGTAACAGATAAGGATGACCAGGAAGGGCAACAAGAATCCACAGATGAAACGAATGAAATAGTAGACATACTTTGCCGAACTGCCATCTGCTTCTGCTGCTCCTTTCTCCTGAAAATGCAATTGTAAATACATAATACTAAAATTAATCTTTATGCAAGCTAATGAAGGGTGGCACATGCAGTAATTTGTAAAGCCATTCTGACCTTGAATGAGCAGTGGCTCAAGTTGTTCTTGCCAAGGAAGACCTGTCGGTACACAAAGTACGGTGAGCTGAACACCACCGCCGCAATCCAAACTCCCACACTGACCACACGAGCAGCACATAACGTCCGTCGTTTTCTGGTGAACACTGGGCGGCAAATGCAAAGCGCTCGATCCACACTGATGACAGCCAGAAGGAAAACACTGCAGAACATGTTGGCGTACTTGAAGAAACCATTGAACTTGCAGAGAAAAACTCCAAAAGGCCAGTGGTCATAGAAAATGCTTTTGATGAGAGAAGTGACTCGTGTCAAGCAGAAGATCAGGTCTGCTACAGCGAGATTGACCAGCCATACATTAGTGAC